GCTATTTTTATACAATGGAGTACTAATCAGCTATAAAAAAGGATAAACTCAAGACTTGTGTAGTAACTGGATGCAACTTGAGACCATATGCATAAGTTGAATTAAATCAGACTCATATGTGTAAACATCATAGTATTTCACTAGTGTGAGAAATTGAACAAATAAGTAAGGTCCAAAACGCACAATAGATACCGTGAAATGAGAAGAAATCATTCAAAAGGAAAGAGAAACTGTGATGGAGGAAAGGAGAAAAGAAGAAAGGCAAAAGAAAAATTAACTAAATATATATAATTAAGATAGCTAAACTTAATTTCTATTAATTCACTGACAAGAAAGGCTTGTACTTATATTGTTTGATCAGATATATAGGTATTTTCATACATCTTGTAATCTGAGAAAGTACTTTGAAAATAACAATACACAATGTAGTAACCATTGTTATTCTATTTCGTGTTTTGAAATTTCATATCATTGTTTTTAGTAATTTTTCTGTAAAATAAAAGATATTAATTAAGTACAATCAGTGTACTTCTCCTTCGTTGCCTGTGCTTTTGGTGGCAGAAACTGTTGTCAAATTCACTGCCATACTGTTCCTGGCTTATATTTTTTCTAAGAGTTTTATGGTCTTAGGTCTTACACTTAGGTCTTTCACCCATTTCACTCTCTTGTATGTTGGTTTTTCCAGCTCTATTTGTTAAAAAGAGTGTCCTTTATCACTGAATGTTGGCACCTGGACAAAAATCATGTGACAAGACCATGCATAGTGATCTAATCTATTTCTGAACTCTGTTTCATGGTGTACCTGAATATCTTTATGCCACACTATTTGGATTACTGTACCTTTGTTATAAGTATTGAAATCAGGCATTGTGAGTCATCTAGTTTTATTTTTGCTTAGAATATTTAAGGTCAATTGAGATTCCATATGAATTTCATGATAAATTTTTATACTTCTGCAAAAATTCATCTCTGGGATTTTAATAGGGATTACATATAACCTATAAATCATCTTGGATATTACTTCTTGATAAAGATACATTGATGGACTTGTGGACTTTTTCATTTTTCATGTCTCTGTTTTTTTGGAATTATTTTGTAGTTTTCATTGTATAAGACTTTTATCCTCCTGGTAAGTAAACTCCAAAATATTTACATATCATGCGACTGTAAAGGGAAATGTTTTCATAATTTTCCCTTTTTATTGTGAATATAAGAAAATATAGTCATATTTGTGTGTCAACTTCATATGCTACTACTTTTCTGAATTTATTTATTATCTCATATTTTTATGGAATCTTTGAGTTTTCTATATGTAACATCCTATCATTTGTGAACTCAGGTGAATTTACTTTTTCCTTTTCAATTTGGCTGCTCTTTATTTCCTTTACTTGCCTGCTGTGTCTAGCTAGAACTTCTGGTCCTGTGCTGAATAGGAGTAGCAAAAGAAGGTGCCGAGGTCCTGATTTTAGAAGAAACTTTTGTGGTTTTTTTGGCCATAAATATGTTAGCTCTGAGTTTTCCATATTTAGCTTTTATAATATTGAGGTAGTTTCCTTCTATTCCTAGTGTGTTGAGATTTTTCCTGCTGCTGTTGATGTTTTGTTTTAATTATGAAAGGGTGTTGAACTTTGTCAAATACCTTTTCTGCATCAGTTGAAAAAATCATGTTTTCCCCTCCTTTATTCTGCTAATATGGTGAACTACACTAATTGATTTTTTTTGTATTTGGAGCCAGCCTTCCATTCCAGTAAATAAATCCTGTCACTCTTTGTAATCCTCTAATATGTTGTTAAATTTGGTTTAATAGTATTTTGTTGTTGATTTTTACATCAGTATTCATAAGGGCTGTGATCTGTGGTTTTCTTTTCATGTAGTAGCTTTGGCATCAAGATACTGGTGCCTCACAAATCAGAAAGTATTCTCTCATCTGTAATTTTTTGAAAAGTTTGATGGGGACTGATGTTAGTGCTTCTTTAAATACTTATTAGAATTTATCAGTGAAACCATAAAGTTTCACACTTTCTTGTTTTTGAGAAGATTTTTGATTACTGGTTGAATTTTCTCACAAGTTATATGTCTATTTAGATTTTCTGTTTCTTCATGATGTGGGCTTTGTGGGTTTTGTGTTTCTTGTAATTTCTTCATTTCATCTAAATTATTAAATTTGTTGACAGCACTCTCATAATCCTGTTTCTGTAGAATCGTTTAATTTCTGATTTTATTGATGTGAATTGTCCATTTGTTTCTCTTAGATTATGTAGCGAGAAGTGTGTCAGTTTTCCCAATCTTTTCAAAGGACCAATCTTTGATTTTATTTTTGTTTTCTATTCTCACCTTCATGTATCCATTTTTTGGTCTTTATTATTTCTTTTCTACTGCTAGCTTTGGATTGTTGTTCTAAAAATTGTATAACTAGCTCATAGATTTGAGATCTTTGTTGTTCTTTAATGTGATAATGTAAAGTGATAAATTTTCTCCTTAGCACTGCTTTAACTATGCCTTTTAAGTTTTGACACGTTATGCTTTGGGTTTGTTCATCTCCAGTATTTTATTAGTTTTTGGTTATTTCTTCTTTCTTTCTTCTTTGATCCATTGTCTTTGAACACATTGTTTAAGAATGTGTTGCTTAATTTATACAAATTTGTGAACAGTTCAGTTGTATTTATGTTATTAATATTTAACTTCATTCCACTGTGAGTGGAAAAGATATGATACAGTATATTTTAATTTTTAAAATACTTGACAGTAAAAGAATCTTTGCCATTAATTCTGATAAAACAAAACAAAACAAAACAAAACAAAACAAAACAAAACAAAACGATCTCACTCACTTTGAAGATCCCTGCCCTATCACATTTTCCACTTTCTGAAGCAGATCCAGAGGTCCTCTTGTAAATGTCTTGATTTAGTTGTGCTGTTATGGCTGCATCAATGTCCTGAATTGATTCAAAATATTTACCGTTTGTGTCATTTTGACTTGGGGGTAAAAGCAGAGGGCATACAGAACCAGATTCTGTGAATAAGATGTCTGAGGACACACTGGTCCCTGTATGCCCTCTTCTTCTTTGTGTGTGTGTGTGGTACTGGGGATTGAATTCTCAACCTTGCGCTTGCCAGGCAGGTACTTCACCACTGAGCTAAATCCCCAGCCCTCCTTTCTTCTTTCCTAAGTCCAAAAGCATTGGAGATTGACAACTTTGAGACTGGTGTTAGAGCTCATGATAAGAGTGCCTCTTACCTGCCATAGTGAAGGTTTTGAGGTTAGTTTCTAGCAACACACACACACACACACACACACACACACACACACACCCTGATTGGTGGTATGTACTTTCTTTTTATCAGTAAAATACATTCCAGTTACTGAACACTGATCAGTTGTTTACTGTTAAACAGATTTTTAAAGTAAAAATTCTAGTCAAATTTGGGCTTTGTAGTTACATGGGTTTCTTTGAACCATATAGAAAGTCATTGACAATGACTGGATTTCTGTTTCAGAGATTTGGAAGACATAACCTAATATTTTGAATTCTTGACATAGGAAAGAAAACTTTTCCTGGGTTACCTTGTGATTGATTTATTTCTAATAAAAACCATTGATCATGCAGTAGATCTACTTTTTCATGTTCCCCAATCTGAAAATTATATTTGTATTTTTAATCTAAAGTTCCTGGTTATAGTTAAGTATGAAGACCTAAAGCCAGTGACACTTTCAACCTTGGGCTGAGGTCATGTTTTACTACCTCTGTCCTGCTTATCACTCAAATGAAAACTCTGTAAATGGAGAACATCCCTTATGTGTGCTTTGGTCTCTGTTCTTTACCTTGAGGTTTGAAAGAACAAATGCAGCATTAACATTAGAAATAGGCTGCTGAGCACAATTTGTATGGAAACAAATTGGAATAAATTTGCTTCAGCCTCAAAGATGCTTTCCTCCTAATAATGGCTGAATGACTTGATGTCTTGGCAACCCCAAGCACAAATAAGCCATCTGAAAACAAAGATAATAAAAGCATCTGCCCTCTTCTCAGGCTACAGGAGTTGAAATCCTTCGGTTTTCTCCTTCATAGTAATAGTATTCTTCTCATATTAAATGCTTACTGCTGTACATAACCTATCTCTGCTTATTAGGGGCACATAAAACATTTTAAATGGTCTCTCCTCCCCTGTATTCCATTAGGGCTTACATAAGTGAACTGTTCCAGTTCATGCAGGTAGTTCTGAGATTGTCAGATCTGATAATTTTAGACTAAGTGAGCAGGTCAAATGGATGAAAATGAACCAAATTTTCAATCAGACGTAATTTTGATATACAATGATAAGTTTCATTATAATAGAAAACATAAGAGCTTTAAAAAAGTTCCAGAATAATGCAGACTAAAATACCTGAGGGTCTTTTTCCATTGGAAAGTGAATTGAATAATTCTGTGTGGCTGAGGATTGACAGCATAATGGAAAGAAAGCAAACTGCAGAATTTCTCACCAGGTAACTACATTACCAGAGAAACTCATGATATAGTCTGTTATTTGAAAAGAGCACGAAGGAACCTTCTGTCTCCTTATGAAGTACCATATTCTCATAGTTCTTGGCCAATTATACTTAGCTTCTGCTAAATTGCAGTTATTGGAAAGTCTCACTCCCTTGCAACCTTTAGCAATAAGAGAAGCAGTCATGACACTGACTCTTCTTAACATTTTTTTTTTATTGGCAGAGGTAAACATAATTAAAACTGCTTTCAAATATTGCATTTTTTATATGAAGTGCTTTGGCCAAAGATACTGCTGCCTAATAGCAATATTGAATATTTCTATATTTGTCTGAAAACTGACTACTAGCTAAACTGGTAGGTTTCAGTGACCTTTGAAACTTTCATTTTTCAAAGTAACATTATTTTTATTCCTCAGATAGAACATTTTGTAGGATACGATGCATAGCAAAAATGTTATAAACAGTAATTATATAAACTTTATGCATGTTCTTGTTCAAATGTTTCACTTACCAGAATTAAGAGGCAACTTGAGGCCAATTTTGTATGCTCAGGGATGGTAGAAAACACTGACAAAATCAAGCAACCAAAGACAAGGAGAAAACTGTAAAACAACAAAAAAGAGAAATTTGGTAAGAACCTCACCTTGTCATCTCAGAATAAAACATCCACCCCATTTGAATGGGCATAGGTTAAATCGTAAAAGCTGTTATGGTGCAAGCCATTTTGAGTCTCAAAATATAAAATGATGCACAATGTAAATGAGGTCCTTTGCAAGTTTATGGATGAAAGAAAGACTGTGTATGATTCTGGATAGGTACTGGGCTGTGTTTAAGTGCTCACGTTGAACTATCTGAATTTCCCATGCAACTCCATTTCCAAGTAGGGACCCTAAGAAAGGCTCAGAAGTGGTTCTTGCCCCCCTGGCTGAGGGCTCACACTTAGCCACTCCTTTCGGAAAAACATGTTCTACCGCATGTTTGGTAGCATTGACAAGTGGATACTGACTGTAGATTGTCATTTGTCTTTTTTTCTATTAATATGAATAATAGAAAAGAAAAGGGATGATTTCTTATGCTTTCCAGATACCATCCATTTCCTTGTAGTCAAACTACTAGAGAAATAACTTTTAAGTAGAAGTCAAGTGCAGTCGATCTATCAACTATTTCTAGAGCTTCAAAAATCAAAGGTGAGCTGAGTTCCCAAGGAAAATGTCTAATAAAAGAGAAGGCTCTGTTTTGAAGTTGAAGTTACATCCTGAATGAGAGATAAACAAACTAAGCACCGGGTGCTTTATGGTGTATTTTTCATGTTTACTTATTCCTCAGAAAGTCATATGATAAATATTTATGTACTGATTTCTGATCTCCTTCACCCTGACAGGGGAATTAATCCTTGCCTCCCACTGGCTTATCCTGAGAAGTATCCCAGGTGTCTTTACCACACTTGACTCAAGAAGATCCAAGAGGCCTACAAGTGAGGATTGGCTGACTATGGCCTGGGAAGCAAATTTGACCCTGAACATCTATCTATTTTTGTAAAGTCTCGTTGATGTACAGCTGCATCCATTCATGTATGCATTGTCTGAAACTGCTTTCATTTTAAAACTGAAACTCAGCGGTGGCAGCAGAGACAATCTGAAACATTTGCTATCTGGCTCTTTAGAGAGTAATTGTGTTGACCTCTGACTGATGCTATCTATTCCTTCTTTTTTCTTTTGGTGACAGAGAACTGCAGTAGGAGCCCTGGACTGCTAAGGTTCTGGGAGCTGATAAAAATTATTACCATTCACAGGATAGTGGACACTAGGCTGTGAACTGTGCTGATTCCCCCTTTTCCTATATTTGCCCGCAGTGTCCCCACCAATTTACACAGAAATACCATTATTTCCATTGTACAGATGTAAGAACTGGGAATTAAGAAGAGTTTGTAACTTGTCCAAGGTTGTGCAGCACAGAGTAATTGGAGCACTGTGTTGTCAGCCCCTATCCTTTTCATGCAGGGTGTGAATGAATAGACAGAGAGTGGAGAGAACATTTTCAACCCAGAAGGACAATTATGAGATATTTGTCCCTCCTCAGATGGAGGGAAGAGTTGGTGCTGCTCTAAATAGACCATGTCTCTTACAGGAGGGAAGCAATCTACTAGTGATTAAAAAAACCTAGCATGTAATATTAAAATAACTCATGATACTTTTGACCAGTGCAACAAAATGAACCAGGACACTCTGAATTGTACTTTAAAATGCCTTGGACCCAAAACTGTAAAATTATCAGAGTCTATTGATCTAAAAATGTCTTGATCATCTGGGAATAAAGATGGTGGATAGATAACAGCAGGCTACAGAGGCTCCCTGAGATAGTCAACTTAGACTCCAAAACCAGTACAGTGTGGGGAGTCCCAAACAGGGAGATGGATCCACCAGACCCAGGAACAAACTAAGCTGAAAGAAACCAATTAAACATACAGTCCCGGTGCTACTATTGGAGTAGCTAAAGGCTCGGTGCTCTTGCTGCAGCTCTTGAACTTACACAGCTGAGACTTACTGAGCTACCTGAAAGCCTGCTGCCACTTCAACTCACTGGAGATGCACTCACGCTGAGGTTGGGGGTCAGCATGCCAAATGGAGAGCTGAGCGGGCGCAGAACATGCATCGACCTGTGGTGATGATGGGAATAAAACCAATCCACAGAAAAAGGGGCTCCAATAGATGACATTCTGGGGCCAAGCAGACTGGCGAGAATAAGGAGCAGTGATGACTTTCAGTCAGCTGCTCCCTTCTCAAGCAGGATTGGTGGGGTATGCTTGACCTGGGTCACGGCCCGGACTGAGATCCAATAGGTTAGCCCAAACTAAGTCCCTACACCTGGCAGCACACCTAAAAACAGTGAAGCCCTCAGAAGATTGACTGACCCGGAGGGGAGGGCCCAGCATACACTGCCCTTGCTTGTACCTCCATAGTATACTGCAGTAGGGAGGAACACCTAGTCAGCATGCTTCAGACGAACTATAATCAACAAAGAAAGAACTCCTATATACACCTGCATGAAAGGAACAAAATATATGAGAAGAGGAAGCAACAAGAAAGACCCCCAACCCCCAACCCTGAGAACATTGATCCAGGAAAGGTAAATGCAAAGAAGATTTAGGATGGAAAACATGCAATATCAGACACGGCACCAGTGGACATAAAGTGACATCTTCAGGACCTCATGGATGAGTTCAAAAGTCAAATATTTAATCAAGTAAAGCAAGATATAAATAGAATAATAAAAGAAATGCTAAGCACCTCTGAAGAATACACAGTTGGAAGAATGGAGGAAAACAAAAAAAAGGATGAAGAATATAAAGAAAACATAGAATACATGAAGCAGGTTCAAAGAGATTATCAGGAAATTAAAAACTCCTTTGAAAGCTGGCATAACTGCTTGAAAGAAAGTAAAGATAGTTATCCAAACTGGAGGACAGGCTTGCAATATGGGATCATGAAGGGAAAAATTTCTTAAGAATAACAAGGAAACAAGCAGTAACAATAGAAAGGCTAGAAGACGACAAGAGGATCTATAACTTAAGAATAAAGAATGTGAATGAAGAAGCAGGGGTACAAACAAAGGAACTACAAAGGCTATTCACAGAAATAATTAAGGAAAACTTCCCAAACATAGGAAAAGGAAATGATATTCAGATATATGAGGCATATAGAACTCCATCTACCTACAACCAAAACAGAACTACACCCAGGCATATAACAATCAAGATCCCAGAAATCCAATATAAGAACAGAATATTAAAAGCTGTCAGACACCAGAAACAGATTACTTAAAAGGGAAAGCCCATCATAATTAAGGCAGACTTCTCGGCACAAACCATCAATTGAGAAGAGTGTGGAACGAAGTATTCCAAGCCCTGAAAGAAAATAACCTCCAGCCCAGATTGATGTATCCTGAAAAACTGTGTCTAGATATTAGAAACAAGATGCTTCCAAGATAAAGAGGAACTCGGGGAATTCGCAACCACCGATCCAATGATGGAAAAATAGCACAATAGAAATGAGGCAGAGAAGGTTGGGTATAATTTCTAGTATAGATGGCCTAGGCAGAGTGGATCAAGAGGTAGGGTCCACCAAGGTGCTCTTTATAGGAAATATAATTAACCTGAAGAAGGGTATATAGACCAAAAATCAAATACGAGAAAACAGTACTCTAGGCAATAAGGAACCAGAGTAATAGGGGCAACTGGACCAGTATTTATGGATAGGTTGAAAAGACAGGCTTTAATAGGTAAAGAAATACAACTAGAAATCAAGTCCAGGAGTGAGAAGGTTTGGAACCACTTAGGTAAACAGCAGGTTGCCCACCTCCCCCCGCCATATAAAATCGAGGGTGTTGGGGAGACCCAAAAATGCACAGTACACCGTGGGGGAGTGGAAGGGGAGCAATAATCTTAAGAAAGACAGCCGAAGTTATTGCTTACAGTGTATCAGGAATTAAAACCCATATTACTCACACCACTCTGCTTAGATAGAACTTATTCTGTCCCATTTTGTATACAAGCACTAGATCTGAGGACACAGACAGCTATCCCAAAAATATCAGGATATAGCACAGTAATCATCTTTAATTTCCTATTAACTGAATCTGGATCCCTGTATAACTGATACTGTTATATCATGACTGATCTTAGTTAAACCTGATTTGTTTGATTGCTGTTTGTTATTGACAGATTTTATTCAAAATTATTAAGGTTGATAGTATTAAGTCTAAGAATATAGACAACTATACTGAAAATGACAATGATTCATTACAATACCCACGGCTTGATTACTAACTGCTTTTGTAGTTCTACACTATTTACAAAGTTGTATTTCTATTAATACTGTTATGTACTGATATATTCAATTATACTATATCTGATGGTATAGCCAATTCCATTGATGATAACAAGAGACAACACAGTAACCATGATAGAACTCCTTGTACAGGAGTTTCATATGTCTTTTTAGTTTTATGTGTCTATAGAAATATGTTTTGTTCTGTCCTGCATTGTTCTGTTTCTCCCTCTAATATAAAAAAGATAGAAATAAATGTTAAGATTCACACTTGCGTAAAACCTTATAAACAGTTTATGAGAACTGATCTTATGACACATGATGAAATGAACAACACTTTGAAGTAATAAAAGGCACAACAGCACCCACTGTCAACAGCTCCCGAGTGTCATGATGTGAAGTCCAGTAATACTATTATTCTTTGTTCAGAACGATTTTAGTCTGCTTTGGTTTGTTTAATCTCAACATAAATGAAGATATGGATAAATGCATGTATGTTTAAGAGTACAGGAATGATAACCATATTACTAAGTTTTTATTAGATAATTGAACAGAACTATTTGAAGTCTCACTGTTTGAATTCCCATTTATATGTACCACTTTTGTATCTTGAACAATTATTTGTAAGAGGACAATATGTAAATATCAACAAGTGATTTATTACTGTTTATTTTTTTTCTTTGAAAGTATGTATTATTTCTACCTGTTTTCTGTTTTAACTTTCTTTAAATAAAATTTTTTAAAAAGTAAAAAGAAATCTATCGATTCTACCTGAT